GAGATGTTGTCGCTTTCTCCATGTATAAATTTCAAACAATTTTACGATTAATAAAGTGATAATGTTTACCTACAAAAAAAAAAAAAAGAATTAATGAAATAAAAGTTTAAATATATTGTACTATATTGATAAGAATATAAAAACAAATGTATTCAAAAATAATAATTTGATTAAATGAGTTTTAAGATTATAAATGTTTTTTATATAATTGTGTGATAAGAGATTATGAATTTGTTAAACTTATTTCGAATATATTAAAAAAAAAAAAAAAGATCTTGGATGTAATTTAAAGTTGTTGATTCTTAAAAATATCTCGTGTATTTTTTTTTACACATTGTGTGTAATACGTCTAAACCCTAACTAAACAAAAAAAAAATTGGGGTAACGGTAACCAGGTTTTAAACAGTTATTTAAGTTTTTTCATGATTGATCGATAAAATTCGTAAAATCACTTGCCAAATACTGCAATCATTAACCATATTAATAACATATCTCGTTATAATTTATTCTTAAAATAGGTCGTTGTAAATAAATGATAAAAGATATCATTTAACAATCGAATTTTAAAAAGTTCAATGAATAAGTATAATTTTTTCGGATTTCATTTGTTGAAAAGTGAGACTCATGGTAACACGAGCATGATGAGTGCGGGAAAGGATTAAGTTTCACTTGGTTATGAAAGGCGTAAAATCTCTATATTAAGGAGTGTGAACTTGAAAAAATTTTTTTGTGCATTGCATTTTGTGCGATCTTGATTACACGTTAATTAACCTAAATTTCTAAATAAATATCGAGCTTGTCTTTTTTCGATTGTTTTTATTCTTGGAATTCACGAATTTTTCGTGCCACTACCTACACGAATATAGTAAATTATTTCCCGTGCGAGTATGTCTATCAAGCCAGATTGTTAAATGACAATAATCACTTATTTGATAAGCCATTATGTCATTAGCGAATTTGTACTTTGATAACCTTTTTTACAGTTATCTAATGACCTGATAATGACCTGATAACGCTTCTCATCACCGTTATTTCTATTTTAGGGTATCCCATGAGTTGGTTCCAAACAGCAGTCTTCGAAGGACACCGCTTTCTGCGATAGTTAATAAAGCAAAAGATAGATGTATGCGTAGGAATAAGAAATATATACCTAGCACCAATAAATAAATATCACCTTTGCATCGGATTATTTCAAATCATAAATTGAATTTTGAATTCACAAGATTTACACTAAAATTAGTTCAGACATTCAAATGGAACCTCGTAGAAAAAAGAGACGGACCAAAAATCCATTTTATTTCACTGTTCGGGGAATGATGAATCCATCCAACTCTCTCCTAATGGTAGTATTTGTACTTTCAAACATATTTTTTTTTATGGCATACGAAGACAACTCACAAATGACACAATCAATACAAAACTTTTCGCATGCATCCACTTTATCACTTTTGCGCAAGGTTGTTGGTCTCGCGACATTCATCAAGTTTTTTTTTTATCATATGGAATTACTAACCGACCTCTTTTTTTATTTTCCACTACCAACATTCCTTCGGTATTACCGAATATTATTATCAGAAACATACTGGGACCTACGGTTCTCTCGACCCGGAAAAAAACCTTAAATATTGCGACTCTCACAATACCTGTAAATTTCTATTTCTCTATTCTTTCCCCTTAAGCTACGCTGATTCCAAATTCAGTGCATACATTAGCACGTTTTCCAATATCGCCCGTCTTCTAAATCGTATCATGGTCCTACCTAATATTGGTTATTCGAAAGTTTCTACTTGTTCACATATTTCCTTGGACTATTACTACAATATCGAGGAATTAAGAAAAAATTTTCCAACTGTAAATTTCATATTCCAGTACGAATTTGAACAGTGGAGCAAAAAAAGATTCAGAAAGCCCATTGCTCAACATCTCCACATCGCTGATGGAACGAATACGCAATCTTCGATCTTCAAAATCCATCCTCCGCAGAATCTTTCTCACCTCTACGGTGCAAACTGTTTCGATCGATTTGCTATGCGATTAAGCAGAAAGAGTACTTATCATCGTCTGCTAGTTAATCAAGACGCGTTACTTGATTTAGAAAAGCGCAAACACGTAACAAAACTCGTGACAGATTCCTTTTTCCACTCTGGTGACGAAGTCTTGCTCATAAAAAGCGACATAAGTCACGACATGAGCTTACAGAAATACCCTACAATACCATACTCGACTCTTATTGCCCAGGAGGCACAGAAAATAAAGATGACGCTGAAGTCATATGTGGCAATACATTGGAAAATGGAAGGAATGCAGGCCGAGACTTTATATGCTTGCGCAGAACGATTGAGGAGTATGTTGGTGGATATAAGGAACAAGTATGGAATACAAAACATCTATTTGTCAACCGATTACCCCATATCGCCCGAGTTTTCACATCCCAATTCGCATAAAAGGTTTAAAAAACATCATCATCGAGCTATGTTGATGTTAAATTCCACGTTTAACATAAGCACATGGATTAGTTTAGATGCATTTAGTAAGATGCGTCAAGAATTGATGGACATTAATAGTAATGATCGCAGTAAGCGTAATGAGAATAGAAATGACGGAGGTGGCGGTGGTCTTGATGAATTCGGAAAGGGAAGAATACGGACGTTACTAGATCAGATAGTCTGTGCGAACGCTGATTATTTTTTGAGTGGACCGGCGGAGTGTCATAGTCAATGGAATGTATTCACACGAATGGTGGGAGACTCTCGACGAGAGATTTTAGAGTCAGAAAATGGGAAATTATTGAATATAATGACCACTTGGTAAGGAATAATCCATAAGACTTTCGGTTTGTTGCTTGCAACAAAAAATACAAATATGGAATAATTAAGAAAAATAACCTTAATAATAAAATAAACTTGTATAAACTGGTAAATATCAAATCAGATTTATTTGTAACGAATTTTTTTTTTTTTGAAAAAATAAGACATGATTTATTTTATTTGCCATGTACACACCAATATCGAATTTTCCATTTAATGAATTAAATGAATTACAGTAAATGCAACATAAATCATAATTTATTATTATATCATATCTAATTATTTTTCTTGTTTTTTTTCAATCAATAATAATATTATAAATATAAATAACAATACATATTAATATAATAAAAATGTAATATCGTGATATGTGAATACGTTTAATATGTGAAAAAGTAATGTAATGCATATCATATATCGTATATTGAAGTAGCAATTTTAAATTACTTTATTTTAATTTTACAAAAGTTAATTCAAATAAAATGTTTAAAAATTACAAAAAAAAAATTTTTTTTGAAAACCCATTTTTTTTTTAATATAATACTGTATAATTATATATTATTATTACTGTATATTTAATTTAATATTTCGATTGAACGCTAGCAGTCATTATTTACTGTTACTGTTTGTCATGTAATTAATCGATCTAAACCTTTTTTAATTGGTATAACTAATTTTGGGAAATAATAATATTTTCTGTTCTAAAAAGGTTTCTCAAGTGACCACAAGATATATCGGTGCAGATGGGCTGGTAAAATTTTTTACCCTTTTTTCTTATTGCTCTTTGTAGCTGTACTAAATTTTAGGCTCACTATTTTCAGCATAGGTTGCTTCAGAGGTATTAGTTCAGTTTCAGTACGTTTAGGCAGGACTTTCTGTTTGTCCATGATGATATATGTGACGATTATATGTTTGTTTCTTAATTCATTGCATTCAATCAGACGCAAATCGTCGAATTGAATTGATCGTGCATTACTAAAACCAAATTATCCCTCCCCCTTTTTCATTTTCCCTACTTCCTCACATTCACCAACTTTCCAGAGTTAAGTTACATCTTTCTTACGAACTCTAAAAAATAACTAAGGAGATTCGTTCATAAGATTTCCAAGTTACCAACGGTCAACCAAATTCATACCACGACTAGAACATGGTTGTCAATGCAAGATGAATAGGTCGATTTTTAACGTCAATATGTATTTGAGAAAGAAAACAATGAAGAATAGGCGGTATCAATTTCTCGCAATTATGGGATTTACGCTTGCGAGTTTTTTAATGCTACAGTATGGGAGGTTAAAACGGAATGATTTTGAGCTGATCATTGGTATGCCTTGAATTTCCTAACTTAATTCTCGATTCCGTGATTTTAAATAACCTTTAATCCTCCTCCTGTTTTCACATTTTGATCAAAGAAAAACAGAATTATCATCCGATAAAATATTTAGACCTAGATCCGAATGTAAATTCCAGTCTTCCACGGGGTACAACCATTTACCACGTAACACGCGAATTTGGTAAATCCGCTAAAACTAACCTTGGTTATCATGTGACTGCCCTCGCCAATGCCCAATCCGCCGATGATTCTCTCTTAATCAACATAGTGACGCCCTACTACTCCTTCCTCAGGCATGTGTATAAAAGTAGTCCATATTGCAGACTTAGTATTCGCATTCGCGATGAACACGAAAAATGGCAGTCAGTAGAATTCAGGGTCTACAGATTTTGGTTTAACAACACTGAAAATCAAACCTTCAACTCTAATAAATCAAACCTAATCCGTGTGTTCATGATAGACCATGCCTCTAAAGTTCACCCATATAATTTAGCATTTAAATCAAGGAGCATCTCCTCCACCAAAGGTTTGTCTTCCGAACTAGAGGATTTATATTTCTGCAAGGCGGCAGCCGAATTGATCACTTATCTAAACACGATGATTGAAACTCCCTTATTTGCCAAGATCAATGCACGAGATGTTGGTGTAGTACACATCCATGGATCAATTAACGCTCTCGCAGTCGATTTGATTAAAGAACTTCACAAAGATAATAAACCCCAGAAGACTCATCCGCCGATAATATATACCTTGCATGATCACTATGACGAGCAATTGTATTCTGTTCATTATGAGAGCCTAAATCGTTTTGTAAGTGCCGAAAAGTTTAGAGTTAACAATCCGAACTACTTTCATCAAAACCGTTTATTTACCTCTTCGCTGGGAATCGACGGATCACAGGCTGCAACTTTCGTGTCTGAAGAAGGTGCTCAATACATCGTAGAGAAGACACCGAATTTTTATATGAAAGAACTGATTATGCCAAGTATACTACAAAAGGCAAAGAATGGAAGATGGGTGGGAGTGAACAAAGACCTCGATACAACCATCCTAAATCCATTCAGTAACGCAGTGTTGTTGGAGAGTAATTCCAATTATCCAAATAACATCGACTCATTCGACGTTGATCTATTTTATGCTGAAGTCGCTGAATCCACGGGATCACAACCGTTAATACACACCGCAAAGACGAACGCAAAGAATTATTTGATTCGTGAAGGGATATTGAAGAGTGAGGATTTAAAAAAGTCATTATTATTATTCACTGGCAGCTTCAGATATCCCGAGGGATCACAATTTTTCGATCGTGTAGCTGAAATCCTAAAAGATCATAACGCGAAACTCATGATTGTGATGCCGAGATATGACTTTACACGAGGTGAAGATGAAAGTGGAGAAGATATTGAAAAGCTGGCGGAGAAGTATCCGAATGAAATGTTGATATTTAATGATGAGCAAATATCGATGGATTGGGGTATATTATTTAGAGCTGCAGCAGATATAGAATTCTTACTTTCACTTAAGGAACATTATGAAATGGCGAATATGGCCGAAGGCTCGTTTTTCGGAAATATTGTGATTGGAGGTGTGACAAAAGAATTCGGTGATTTTTTTTCTAATAAGGGCTTAAAGAACGATCATACGAATTTTTTGTTTGACTTTTATCCGCATGATCTTGAAAGTACAATCAGAAGTTTGGAACCTAAATTAAAGTTGGCGATTAGTTATTTAAGGAGTACGGATATGGATTTTAGGAAGAGAGAATTATTTTTGAGGGGGTTTATCAAGGGTGCGCTGAAGTTAAGCCAAGAATCAAAAGGCAGGGAAGCAGAAAAATACAAGAGAATTTATAAGATGGCGAGTAATGAAACGCGGAAAAGGTTATGGCGTATAGAAGAAAGCGAGGCGGAATGGTAACATATTAAGAACTATGGCAAGGAATACTATCATAATAAAATTTTCTTAAAATAATAACATTACATTCGAAATAAATTAACTAAAATAATTTAATTACCGCATATACACCTACAGTAAAGTGCTAATTTTTTAAAAAATTTACAAGATATTTATAAAAATATCTCTTGTTTCCGATTTAATGATCTATGATGTTTTAAACAATCTTCAAAATAAATGAACTTTCTATTAAGATATTATGTTTGTAAAGATTATTTGTGATTCCAGTAACATTGTCAAATATAATTCTTCTAATTAAGATATTTTTGTAACTTTTTTTTGACTCACAGAAAAAACTCTACTGCCAAGTTATAGCTTTCTTTATAAAAAGCAAATAAATGATTATAAAATAATTGCAAAGTGATTATGAATAATTACAAGCAACTAAAAGTAATTACAAGTAATCACAGATAATTACAAATAACTATAAGTAGTTTATAAAATTTATATTTTTGTAAATACTGTCAAATAATTATGGATCATTTATTTAGTAAAGATTTAAAATACAAAATTATTTTCACAGTTTTCAAACAACTATATACAGTTCGAAAAATTCCTAGGGGCATCCAAAGAAACAGAAGTAATCCAATGAATGGAAAAAAAAACCTTTGCTCAAAATCTATAAATAACTATACAAAATATATAAGCAATAAAAAGGTTTGTCTATAATATTTATGCCAACAGAATTCAATAACAAATTGAAAATCTAACAAGTCAGATTAGCTTTCTAACAATATTAAAACCATTTTAAAAAGATCTTGAAACAAGTTTTGTACATTTAGAATAAACAAAAAAACACATATACAAACTTATACAATTGATTAAAAAAATATTATTGAAGAGAAAAGAAAAAAAAATTAATTAAAAAATTATTAAAACAATAAAATTCAAATACATCAATTTTAAAAAAAATTAAAGATGAATAGTCAAAATGTTAATTAATAATTTCAAAACCAAAATAACAATTAATAAGATAAGAAAATATTTAATTATAAAAAAAAAAGAAATTCTATGTCAAATTAAAAACTCTACTATTAATAGTTAAAAAGCCTAAAAAAATAATATATTAATTTCAATCTTCTTAACATATAGTAAAAAAAACAATAAGTTCAAAACAAAAATTCAAGATATATAATATAATATAATAAATTAAAATAAAAATTATATATATAAATTAAAAAAAGTATTGCAAGAATTTTTCAATAATAAAATAACAAATTTAATCAAAATTAAATACAAATACTCAAAAACTTAGATTCAATAATAATAATAATATTTACAATTTCTATAATCTATTTTTAAAATATAATATTATATCATTTGCTTAAAAATATGGTCTTTTATATTTAATATCCAAAGCAAAAGAATAATAAAAGGATTTAATTATTATTAGATCTATTATACCTCTTAATATTCTAAAAAAATTAAATTTGCAAAACTGTTAAAAAAAAGTACTTTAAAGTTTATTTATTTTTTAAATAATATTAAAAAAAAACTTTGAATTTTGCATCAAAATATAGTAAAAGTATATAATATAATCAATTAAACAATATTTAAAAAGTATTATTAAAA